ATGGCCGTACACCTCCGGCGGCGGGGGCGAGGGCGAGTTGGGTCTGGATCGTTCAGCAGGATGGTTTGAGACGTCATTTCTGCTATCCTTGGGAGGAAAGAACCGGGATGGCCGTGCCTGAGATGCGGCTGGTCCAGTGGGAGGCAGAATGGAACCGGCTGCAACATCGTGATGAACAACATGAGCAGGTTCACGCCTGCCCTCTCCGGAAGGTCTCCAAGTATCCTTGATTGCGGGTTGGGCCTGTTCAATAGTGAGACCTCGCTCGTTGAGCTGACGGTCACGCTCCAGACGCTGAGTTCTCCGCTCGTCAAGAAGTGATTTATCGCCATCCAACACTGAGTTGGCCCATCTGTTCCGCATCTCGTTCAAGTCACGATTGGGTCCGGGAGCCGGGCGAGGCTGAGTTGTCGGAGGAGGCTGGTTCTGGACGCGCTGTGCGCTGGGCGGCGCTATGGGGGCGGGGCCTTGCCTAGCTTGGGTGGGAGGCAGCTGGCCAGCTTGTGACTCAGGAAGGCGTCCAATGTCAGTATTGAATGTGCCATTTCCTAGACCACGATCATTGTTAGGAGATCCCCATACGTTCTTCGCCTGCTGCCCAGCAGATCCCCAGGTCGGCAGGCGGTCGGGTTGCTTTGGAGTTTGCGCGTCCCACAGATTCGGCTGTCTTGCGTCATGTCCAGGTCTTCGATGTTCGGGGTCGCCAGTCGTAGGTCTTTCGCCGTAAGGCTTTTCGCTAGCGCTCGTCACGGTTGTAGGTACGGTCGACGGGCCAGAGCTTGCCGCAGACTCTCTAGACTGCGATACGGTGTCTGAACCAGCGGAGCCGTCTCCTTGTTGAGCCGGGGGCTGAATGGTGGCACTTGCGCTCTCTGGGGAGTCCTTCTTGGCACTCTTGCGTTCCGGTGGGGGTCCCATGGCATCCAGCTTGGCCTTGATGCGCTCCTTCCTCGCAGCCTCCTCACGTGCCTCCTCTTCACGTCTTCGTTGCATTGCCAGCTCGCGCTTCTCGCGCATAATCTTCTTTTGCAATTCCAGATCCTCTTCGAGACGAGCCATTGGCGGCGGCTGAACCGGACGTCCCTCGGGTGGTCCGGCTGAGTGAAGGCTGGCGTAGTTGGTACCCGGGGAAGCGCGGGGCTGCCACTGCTGGTTCGAGTGCATCCGGGGGCCATGCTGAAGGCCTGAGGGGGAGAAGTTCCGCGGCGAGACGGGGCTATCGATCGAGCCTGTAATAGAACCTCTGCGCGCATTGAGCAGATCTTGGGGAGGCAGGGGCATTTCGTGCTTGCCAGGTCTCTGCATGTAGGAACCGCTTCCGCCACTGACGTTCGAGGATCCGCGGCGTCGACCAAAGGGGCCATCGGGCATCGTTGTCCTGCTAGTTTGGAAAGCCGCAGAAGGCTCAGGATGATCAGAGTGGGAGGGGCGTTGCAGAACGGGAGGCTGTCTGGCATCGGATCGGAACGATCCCCTTCGGTCATTGACTGCTTCATAACGACCAGACTGGGAGTTGAAAAGCTCCCTGTTTCCGCCACCAGGCCCTTCTCTCCACGCAGACCGATTGAAGTCGTCGGCGGCGATTTCTCTCGCATACGGCGGCGGCGTGTTGTTGCGGCCTGGCTGATCCCTGGGGGTGAATCTGTGTCCTGCTTGAGGCGGGGGCTCCGCGACGATGGGAGGCGCTTTTTCAACGGGTGGAAGAGGCGCCCATGGCGACTTGACGGGTGTTGGGGGAGCAGGTGGCTTTGCAACAAGCGTTGGTTTGTCGGCTGAACCGCCCTTGAGAATCAGGCCCTTTCCAGAGGCAAGAACACCGGGTTTCATGGACGGGGACGGGGCGTTGCGTGGAGGCGCGGGCGACTTCGGTTTCTCGATCGGTTTCTCTTTTGGAGGAGCTGGCGCGGGCGCCGGAGTCGGTTCGGGAGGCGGAGCGGGAGTCTCATCAGGGTGCGGCAACGTTGTCTTGGTACCGTCGGTCCAGGTGATGGTCTCGGGCGCCCAGTCGTCATCATCGTCCTCAATGTCCGCCCAATTACCTTGCGCCTGTGCGCTTTCCGGGGCCAATCGATTCGCCATGTGGATGCCATACTTCTTAAGTTCCTCATCTGTGAATTTCTTGGGCTCCGGAGGCGGAGCAGCTGGGGATGAAGATTAGCAAAGACCAAAGCCTCCACGATTTCCCGACAGCCTTACGTCGATTTTTGTTCCATACTGCGCTGGGGTCCGGGCCGGATGCGTTGGTACCGTTGGCTGCCGAAAGTCGCGGAGCGTTGCCAGTGCCGCTGCCCGACTTTGCAATAAGTCGGGGTCGCGACGAAAGGGTAGAGGTGCCAGAGGGTGAAGAGCTCAACAGACTTGCGGAGCTCTTATCGGCGGGTTTCGAAGCGGTACTACCGGCGGCGGCGGCAGCGGCGCCTTTCGCGGCAAGAAAGGTCTTGTTGACAGACACAGCCTTGAAGGTCGCGGGCTTCTTGACGGTCGATGACGTCCTTCCGTGGCCCTTTTCTCCATCTCGAGCCCTCGATGCTTCCGTATCTGAGCCCCCGCTCACGCTGACATCTGCTGAGATGGCCTCTTCGACACCGGTGATGTGCTTGTTCTCGAGGTCATCAAAGGCTGCGGGGCTGCCATTCAGTTTTGCGCGGTTTGGACCATCGTGGGCGCCGCTGTCGTTGGTCTGTTTGCGCAAGTTAGCCATCGTGATAAGGCATGGGTGTTGGTTGGAGTTGGGAGGGGGGGGACGTGGGGACCTTCCGGCATCTCTGCCGTCGTGGTCTCCGTCCGCAACTCCATTGTGTCCGTCGCCGTCCTAGCTCTGGACGACGGCCCTCGGCGCTCTCAACCGGCAGCGCTGGGTGACTTTGAGGGGGAGCACTCACGAGCTTGGGTTCGGAGGAAGCATCGACGGGGGCGAGGGTGGCTTCAGTAGCCATCATACGTCGTGCTGCGCTGCGGAGGAGGAGCGAGGTTGGGGTGGGCGGTCGCTTGCCTCGAGTGGTCGGCGTTTCGGGGTAATAATCGAGCCTGCGGTGGTTGTCGAGGTTATCGTCGGCGCGGTACTCGTCGCGATCGTGGGAAGGGGAATCGTCGCGGATCGTCGTCCCGATTGTCGTGGGATTCTAGGTGGGAGGTAGAAAAAAGGGAGCGCTGAGGCGAGGTGGTGTAAAATGGCACCGATGCGGCTGTGATGGTTGTGAGGTTGATTTTCCAGAGGAGCTGCACCTAATCAGGGAATAGCGTGCGCGTGCGGCAGGGGAGCACTGGGCGCTGAACCACCTACGGGCTGGTACAGGTAGTGGTCATAGGTTCCCGTCGCACTCAAGGACGGCTTTAGTGTACCTACCTAAGGTACGTCCTGACAGCACTCGTTTGGCTCCAAAGGCCGCTGTTTCTTGTTTTTCTTTTCTCTGCTTCTTTTGTTTCTCGTAAATCTCTTGCCTAGATTAACTCTATACACTATCTCCTCACGCATCACTATCTGGGGGTATTTCATTGCAACATCGTAGCCCAAAAGAAACCATGGGCACAGACACAGCTCGCAGGGACACAGCGCACTTCAAGCACTGGGCCGGGCTGAGGTGCCCTGCCTTGACTTTACCCATTAGGTGGCACGGTGGGTAGGTGGTGAGAATGAGGGGAGGCAGGTGAGGGAAAAAAGAGTGGAACCTGCTGGGGCCTCTCCGCCGACGTGGACACACCACCATCGACCCGACGGCTTCGTGAGGCTGTGACAGTGCGGCCAGATGACTCACTGTGCGCCACTAGTACTGTGCCGCCAGTCTCTTCCCTGCGCTTTCCTCACGAGAGGCAGGCACCAACCAACGCGGGATTCCCCGACATCGAATGCCTATTCTTGGACTTTTTGCATTGATCGGCCTGTCCCCCAGTCTGAGCATCGCAAAGGGCCGCGAGTGCGCACCCGCACTTCTCCGACTGACACTTGTTTTACAGACCTAGCTTACAAGGCTACTGACTGCTACCAAGTGTTGGTCAATGACAGTTGTTACATGATAGGATTGTCGCCACTGGGATGGATGCATGTGTACGGCGAGCTCAAACTCAATGCCCAGCCCTCCCCTTTCCCAACTTTTCCCTTTTGCCCGTTGCATCCCGTCTTGCGAGTGGTGGTTGTCTGACTGGTCGGTCGATTGGTTTGTTGGGGGGTGCAAAGACTTGACTGAGTATTACGCAACACTCTCTCACTTTTCGATTAATCTTTCCATTAGCTGAAACAAACTCTCGGCACCTGTGGTCGCCTCTGCCACTTGCTCGACTTGTAGGTGGCCTTAGCCGAACCGAGAAATCCGGGGTCGCATCTGAGGGGTCACTGCATATCCGAACATAGATGAGCAGACGGCCCATACTGCTTCTGGGAGCTCTTGAGACAGAGTGCGTATGTAACGAAGACATACAAAATGACTGAGTAGTGCGGGATGCCAAAGTGTAAATGAAACAGAAAAAAAAAAGAGCTCTCGAGTCGACTCGTAGCTGTCGGACGGTCGAGCTTCTCTCAATGTGATATGTGATTCATTGAGGCCGTCAGACCATGTCATGAAATCCCAATTACACAGTCGATGAATCTGACACACCTGGTGCTAAAAACAAACACAGACATGGCGAATGAACTGTACAGCTTGATATAAGCATACCTACCGCAGTAGCTACAATGCTGAGATTAAACTGGACGCACTTAAGCTCAGTCATACTCAATGGGAAGACATAAAAGCAGACATAAACTTGTGGCCAGTTGCCTGCGAGACTTTCAACCAATCTTCAGCAACGTAGTCCATTCATTGTAAGCTCTACATGAGGCCAATAAAGCTAGCGTTGGAACTTCACAAGTCGTCAAACAAGTTGTGATAAGACACAAGGGAATTTGCCGAGGAGCTTCCTCCCGGAGAAAATAGAGCTTCTAATTCTTGTATACACAGTCCCAATGCCATTACACAGCCTACGGGTTCAGGCTGGAACTACACATCCGATCGGGAGAGAGTAGCTTAGTGAGCATTGTTCTTGTGGTGGCCTGTCACGGTTCAAAAGACGTCAGCAAATCCCATCCGTTGAAACATTTACACCTCGTATCTCTTTTCATCCGAACTGTCCTGCGCCCGCAGGGATCCCAAAAAAAGGGAAAACTTACGGAGGTGGAAGTAGTAGTTCTGGGCGTAGCCGACGACGAGGAGGAAGCCGATGGCGTGGATGATGGCTGCGCGCGACCTGTCAGTACTGTCTCTTCACACATTCGTCGTCTCGGAGGAGGTCGCAACATACGCTTGGCAGAGGCGTTCTTGCCGTTGAAGTGCTTAGCGGCGTAGCGGCCGAGGATGCCAGAAGCCTTGGCCTCGGGAGCCGGGCCACGGGGGAGCTTCTCGTAGAAGTTGACGACGCGCTGCATGCGGACGGCGTTGGGGTCCGCACCAAGGGCCTGGATCGAGCATTGCGCATGTTAGCCAACCATCCCCATCAATCATCAGACATCATCAAATCCGGCCAGCGTAAATCAGTTCTGCCCCGCCTCTTCCAACCGCATGTCGCAACTGCGTGCACTGCCTGCCGTCGTCTCGCGATCCTTCCAAAGCTCCGAGGAGCCCCGTCCATCTCTTGACCCCGTTTCCGGCCGCATCCTGCACCATCCCGCCCGAACCTCCGACTTTCCCGGCGTTATGTTCGCACCACCTCGGCCATCCATCAAAACACGTCAGAATCGCAAGAGATATCGTACCTTGGGAGAGGCGACCTAAGTCCATCCCGATTAGCCAAACTGCAAAGACACCCCGCCGTCCGAGAAGCTCTCGCCAAACGACACCGGGCGGGCGGAAAGGGATACCCGAGAGCTAGCGTACCTTGGGGGGGATAAGGGTCGAAAGACCGCGGCGGGTGACGAAGCTCATTTTCGCGAGGAGGGCGGAGGTATCTATCGGCTAGGGATGAGCAAGTCAATTGACGGCGCGGGAGGGAATCAATTGACCTTCGTTTCGACGTTGGGGGGGTTGAGATGGCTGCGAAATGCGGGTGGATTTGCCGAACGTGAGGTTTGAACGAAAAGCACTCGTTTCTCTTCGGGTCAAGGTTCTTGCGGTTAGCCAATCAGAGTTCGGGACACCCGGCAACAGTGGGTCCCTGGGCGGCGGCAGCGGCAGCCAACCCAGGCAAGGCTGTTTGCCGAACGTCAACCATCATCACCAAATCGACTACAACCGTTTCCGAAGGAGTCGCCGATTTCGCCATCCCCCCGTCGCAATGGCTTCCCTCCGCGTCCAGGGCGCAGCCCGTCTGCTGCGCAGCGCCGCCCCGATGCGGGCCGCCCTCCCGCTGACTGCTCGCCGATTCGAGAGCTCCGTCGCCACAACCACCGCCGCTCCCCCCGCCGTTGCTCCCTCGACGCAAGAGAACGCGCCCGACTACACCATCCAGGCTGACAAGGCCACCTCGTGAGGATACCCGTACCGTCCGGGCGCCCGATTGGGGCTACTCGGGACGCCGAGAACATACCAATAGCTAACCTACGAGCCTCCAACAGCACCTTCACCCCCGTCCCCAAGAAGATCCAGGACGCAAGCGAAGACGTCCCCTACCTCCAGGCCGCTGTCCTCTCCGGCGCTCCCATGGAGCTCCAGGCCCGAACCGTTCGGTACGCACGCATCCCAAAGCCCTGCTCCCACGAAGCTTCCCCAAAGACACAAGAACGGGACCCGGACATTTACTAACAAATCACGACCAGCATCTACCAGGAGGCCAAGCCCGCGACGCAGTCCGGAGACTGGCAGGGCCACCACTGGCGCATGGACTGGGACATCCTCCCCAAGGGCCACAGATGGGAGAACCCCCTCATGGGCTGGCAGTCGTCCGGCGACATGATGCAGGGCACCAAGCTCAACTTCAAGAGCAAGGAGGACGCCATCCACTTCGCCGAGAAGCAGGGCTACGAGTACTTTGTGCAGGAGCCGCAGTCGAGGAGGATCCGCCCCAAGGCCTACGCCAACAACTTCCTCTACTCCCCCAAGAAGCTCAAGCACATCCGCACCAAATAGACGACCAACCCAAAAAAGAAACTTGTACTGTACATAAGACGCCCTGCAAAGAAACCTTTTTTTTTCACATCTTCAATTGGTCTGTTCATGCTCATGGAACGCACGTATTACGACTATATGATGGAGTATACATGAGATATTTCTTAGTAGTAGAGTTGAGTGAATAACGAGACTTTGTCGGGGCGGATTAGGAAGGGCCAGTGTCAGCGGACTTTGGTGGCCCGCTATTGGTCCGCTCCGGGCCCACCGAGATGTGTATCCGAGCTGCGTTGAGCTCAAACCATGGTTGCTCGTAGAATGAGAGCTCCGCCTACAAACCAGCAAACGCCTTTTACGTTTCTAGCATGGCCTCATGGTGGCATTAGGAGCACTGCTTTGGACAGTAATTGCACAGCGGAAATGACGCCATCCAAGCTCTTGCAGGTCAGACTTGTCTTACGGAAGCTCTGGATTCTGCTCTCGGCTTTTCACAATGCACCTAGACAAGGAAAGGCGCGCAACAGGTACATGGGGTTGAGGGAGGAGCAATTAATAGTGACAATGCCATTTAAGCTTCTATTGTTTGTTCGGTGCGCTGTTTATCCCGAGTATCATGATATCGTTCGAGGATACACCGATCCTCCATTTCCCAACGCCTTGCTACCTTGTCCCTAATGCCAATTATTCCGAGTCGTGAAACTCATCAAAAACACCATCGTAATATGAATCTTCGGACTCGTAATGTTCCAACGCGTCCTGGATATCAGCCGAGCCGGAACGAGGTTCGTTCTGCTCCTGGCGTCCCGGCTCAATCTAGGAAACAGCCGAATCTGAGCCCCTTTGAAGACGCAGGGTCGATTTCACTGCCTGCACCTAAGAGGAAAGTACCATGGGGTCGTGGACGTCAGCGTCGCCGTCCCCGTTGAGGCCAATGCTTATCCTGTCTGGTAGCGCCTTCTTCTCAGCCCGGGCAGTGTTTTCAGCCCAGGCACGCATCCGGATCAGGTTTCGAATCGAGGCCTCCCTGCGCTCTGTCTCACGCTGCAGGATAGCCTTGTTGACGTCGTCTGCCACGCCGCGTCTCAAGTCAGGGTGCAGTATGGCGGCAAGCTGGGGCTCGAGATCGCTGTGAGGGAACACCAGGAGAGCCATTGTCTCCTCCAGATCCTTGAGGAATCGAGGATCCGTAGGCGCTCGAGGACCAAGGTGGTGCGTGGCAAAGGTCAAGGCGGGAGTAATATCTCCGCCGGGCGTCGCCGTACACGACCGGATCAGTTCGACGAGCTGGAGGCGCAGAAGCGCAAAGTGGAGGGTAGGATCCCTATCCAGAATCTGGTCCATTTGTTAGTCGTTGCGACAGGAATATGTTGCACATTTAACAAGATGAAGTAGGAGAGATAGCTCATTGAATAATGGTGTGCCTCATCAAAGGGCCCGAAGGCGCTATGAGTGGTGCATGTAAAACTCGGTTTCTAATCACAGCTCGGAGGGGAGACAGATTCAAGTAAAATCAACATACCTCAGCGTCAAAGTCGTTCAGGGCCTCGATGGCAGCCTGGATGCTTCCAGTGTGGATAGCTCTCTGAATTTGCTGGCGAATCTTCACCGTCTCATCGATCTGGTGTTCTTGCAGGTTGGCTTCCTTGCTGAACTTGTCGGCTGCCCTAGAGTAGCCCTCCATCGTGAGGTAGTCGAGGATCAGGGCGTTGATGTCGCTGGAGGTCCATGTTAGCATGAGCCTCTTTTTGCAAATGAAGTATGTGTTGCAAAAGAAAGGTGAAGCAGCAGTGTCAGGGTAAAATTTTATATCGAGTTCTCCGCATGTTAATTGCTAGGAGAGATTCCCATTTGATAGTCGATCATCATGTGAGCTGGATGGGGGGAGGAGGTTCGCGCGCGAGACGGGCTAGCGTGGGACTAGCGTGAAAGAGGACGGGCTTACCTCTTGGGCGACTTGACGTCCTGGACACGCCTCTCGAAGGCATGTTTCATGGGAGTAGCGGTCGACGCAGACGAAGTCTGAATGACATCTTAGCCCACAGCCCCCAGGGAAGGGAGGCAGCTTCAACGGACCATGATTCTCTCCAGGGTCTCCCGCACGAGGCGAGCAGCAGCTCTATTCCAGACTGCTATCGCTGTTGGGTCGTTGATGTCTGGCAATCCTGACATGCGATGTCGGGGATGAGGCGTCCGTGCAAGCCTAAATCATGAAGAAAAAAAAATGTGAAGCGGAATCAAAACTTGGCCGTCGTCACATTGGGTTGGCCGGTCGAGGCCCCGTGGTTTTGTTGTTGGAGCTTGAAAGAAGCTGCAAAGCGGAAGGAGAAAGGATTGGATGTGGAAGAAGGAGAAAACGTCAGAACAAAGAGAAAGAGGCTGGAGCGGAGCTTTATTTGGTTCCAGATTTTGCGGCTGCAGCGCACCAATTGCAGAATCAGCCGGTGGGGGAGGTGGGACAGACTGGATTACATAAGTGGGATGGGCCATATGAGCACCGCTGCTGAAAGCGGGCTGGAAGGGCTGGCGACAGGGCAAGAAAAGCACAGGGCTGCAGATAAAGCTGCTGCTTGAGATGGCGGCGACCTGAGAGGCATCGCGCTTCGGACAGGGCAGCAAACGCAGGAAAAATACAGGGTAAGCTCCACCACGGGCACAAGACAGGCAGGTACGAAAGCTAAATGGAACACTACGACTCTCCAGCGTTTGGGTGCGAAGCCTCAGTGCTCCTCTCTGGGCTACGTCTGGGCCCCTAGGTCTAAGCGAAAGTCACCTCGCCGTAGGTAGGAATGGTAGGTTAGTATGTAGGTAGAAGTAGGTAAGGGCGTCTCCGTAGATCAGTAAGGAGGCTGCGAGCGTCTAGAACCGGTGTAAGGCGACCGCCGATGTTTACCAGGTCGGTTTAGAGTAAAGAGGCACACGACACAGCCTCCCGTTTACAACTCCCCCTTTCCTGCTTTCTACATTCATCATTTCAGACTTTTCTTGACATCTTCCAACATAGCACTATCAAATCGCATCTACAAAAAATTTCATTAGCTTTGCGGGCGCAGTAGCTCTGGTCAGTCACTGTCCCGACGCAGCTTTGCCAGGACCTAGGTTACCTTACCTTTACAGCCAGGTGCTCCACACTGAAGGCTTGTCAAAGTCCAGCATCCCCTCAGCGCTTATCTTTGGAGACTGGACCCTTGAACTTTTGCCTCACCTCACCACCACCTCATTCCTCTCTTCCATTCTTATACCCTTCTCTTCCTTCATTCAACTGCGAGGAAGCAGAGATCTTCAAGACCGACCGGCAACTCCTGCAGCGTGCCCCTCACCCGTCGTCACTCCTGAGCTGCAGGAACTCGAGGTCCAAGCTGCAACTATCCGCCATCGCCCGTACCCCTCCACGTCGGCGAGCTCCGAAATGGCAGAGACAAACGGCACAGAGTCTCATGTGACGGTCCAGAAGCGAACGCACTACTCACCACCATGGGCAGACGTCAGCATCATTGGCATCGCCGGCAGCTCGGGCTCAGGCAAGTCTACGCTGTCCCACGCCATCGTTAGGAAGCTGAATCTGCCCTGGGTGGTGATTTTGTCCATGGTATGTGTGCAATTTTACCCCGCCAACCACCACCACCACATCGCATCGCCCCTGACTTGTGATATTAGGACTCTTTCTACAATCCCCTCACTCCTGAGCAATCTAAAAAGGCATTTGCCAACGAATTTGACTTTGATTCACCAGAGGTGGGTTAGTTTCCGCGTATCTGAAGAGCGGTTGTTGACGGCTATCACAGGCCATCGACTTTAATGTTCTTGTGGATTGCCTCCGAGATCTCAAAGCTGGGTAAGTGGCAATGGTCCTGAGATGACAATATCGAACATCAGAGGATCTACTGTCTACTGTCGATGAAATTTCTTACCGATTTATGACTTACGCCTACCAGAAAGCGTGCAGAAATCCCCATCTACTCCTTCTCCAAGCACCAGCGTATGGAAAACACCACAACAATCTACTCACCTCACGTAATCATCCTCGAGGGTATCTTTGCCCTTCATGACCCGCGCATCATTGACCTCCTGGATATGAGAGTAAATATGATCTCTCCAGATTTCGGTTACCGCCTTCTCACAGCTATCTAGATATTCTGTGAGGCCGATGCTGATACTTGCCTGTCTCGAAGAGGTCAGTGCATAACAGCGATGAATACGTATGCAGGGATGCATAAAGCTGACCTCGGTTCCTAGTTTTGAGAGATGTCAAGGAACGTGGCCGTGATGTGGAGGGCATCATGAAGCAGTGGTTCACCTTCGTGAAGCCCAACTTTGAAAAGTTTGTCGAGCCGCAGCGAAAGGTGGCAGGTAAGGCATCTCAGTGTTGTGAAACTCTCATCACCCGTGCTGACGCTGCATAGACATTATTGTCCCAAGAGGAATTGAGAACCGAGTTGCGATGGGTGAGTAGACATGAACGTTGTGAGTGAGCGTTGCTAAATCAACGAACAGCCATGGTCGTTCAGTACATTGAGCGAAAGTTGATTGAAAAATCGACCCACCACCGCGCAGCCCTGACACAGCTTGAGCTGGCTGCCGCCAGCGAGCCTCTGTCCGACAGGGTCGTAGTCTTGGAACAGACGCCGCAGCTGAGGGGCATGAGCACCATCATCCAGGACATTGACACCTCGGGCGAGGACTTTATCTTCTACTTCGACCGCTTGGCTTGTCTCCTGATCGAGCAGTGAGTGCATCATCCTCGACCTCTCGGGCAGCAAACTAATGATGCAGGGCGCTCAACAACGTGCACTTTGAGGAGAAGACGATCGCCACGCCACAGGGATATAAATACAACGGTCTTGTGGCCAAGGGCAATGTAAGTGCAGTGCTCGTTCTCCGAGGCGGAGCCGCATTCGAGACGGCCCTGAAGCGGGTCGTCCCCGACATGAGGACGGGCAGGGTCCTCATCCAGTCCAACGTGCGGACCGGAGAGCCTGAGTTGCACTACCTCAAGTTGCCCGATGACATTGACGAGCACGAGGCAGTCTTGCTCATTGACACGCAAATGGCCAGCGGAGGCGCGGCACTCATGGCGGTGCAGGTCCTCGTGGACCACGGCGTCGCGCAGGAGAAGATCGTGCTGGCCTGCTACGCCGCCGGAAGGCTGGGAGTCCACCGTCTGGCCAAGGTGTTTCCCGGCATCACGATTGTGCTCTGCAATATGCTTGCAGACATTGAGGATCGTTGGGTCGAGAAGAGATACTTCCGGTGCTAGCCTTGCCTTGCCCTGCCTTGACCTTACCTCGACTTATTCGGTGCTAAGGCACGCATGTAGAAGATGAGGCTGCGTCCTTTATCATGTGCTCCAGTAAATAATACCCTTACTCATGTAGCAACAGGAAGGGTCTAGCAGTAAAAGCCGAATATCCCATAGGGATGCTAAGATATCTGACAGAGCCTCCACCGGGATCTTGCGAATGCGACACAATGCAGCCCTTTTTTCCCAGACCGTCAGACGTGAAGAAAAGACGCAGTTTTCGTATGCAAGATCCGTCAATCCGTGTCTGGCAGCGGCATCGCTGGTTTATCAACGGACGTCATTGGCCAGCGGCCCATCTTCAATTGGCCGAAGGAGGCACCGAAGAAGTGGACAAGCACTGCGAAAGGTGTGGGGTCTGCACGCTTGCCACGGCAGCCGGCATGGGTCATTGACGCCGCTGACTGAGGTCTTTTGGCGTCGCCAGGGTCGCCATTATCAGATTTTGCAGGGAGGCAAGCTATCAGCTCGGCGGATCAGGGGCGCGGCGCCGACACGGGCCCAGAACTTGGGACGAAAGTCCGAGAAGAGTTCGGTTGACGACGGCATGCTGTTTGCCTCTCGGAACGGACGCGAGGCACATTTCAGAAATTCGAAAAATAATATCGCTGGAGAAGAGAATAGCCAGAGTCCCAAGGGCAGAGAGAGAGAGACGGGAAGAGACTGATGAAGACGCTGGGTGCTGCTTAGAAGCTTCTGGCGGTAGGCGCCGTGCTGCATAATTGCATGCAATGGAAGGCAGGTTTTTTCGGGTTAACCGACCTATGACGACACTTTTGGCTGGAGTCGCCGGGAAAGGAGCTCCTCGGAGGTTCGAGGTTGACTACTGCAGCACCTTCCATGTCGCCTGCGACCAGTGACAACACGCCCTGCGCCTGCAATTGACCTAGTACGGGCAAGCATCATTACGCATACGTTATGTCCAGGGCAGCTGTCCCGCCAGTTCCATTAGGTCGCTCTTTTTTTCGTAGCCATTAAGGTACATTATACCTTGATTTCCTCATCCTGATCTCGAACCAAGAAAGCTTCCTCTCTCCAACGATTCTCCCTTGTCTGTCTATTGTTGTTGCACCTGACTTCCACGATCGACCCTCCCACAGAGCTGTCGTGCTCCCTTCGCTCGTTTCGACATGACATCTCCCTGTTGAATCATCAGGACATTCATTCCGCTCGAAACCAAAGATACACGATAATCAATAAATGCCTCCAACCACCTCGGCGCTGATGCGCCTAACCCGCGCAAGCCGGCAAACACCATCGCCAGCCAGTCTGCTCAAGGCTCTGCCGCCATGCAGACAGCCGCTCGCCGCGCTGCCGCAAAGGCGCGCCTTCACTAATGTCCCCCAACGACCTCGAACCCGAACACCCCTTACGAACTTCTTCAACGCTCACGGCCTGCCCAAGAGTCCCCTCGTCCGCGCGGCCTCTAGCTCTTCCACGACCACGACCACGACTTCCAAACCGAAATCCCGGCTTCTATGGCTAGCCTACCGCGGCGCGGCATGGCTCGGCGGCGGCATCATCTTCGTCGGTCTCGGAATTGTTGGCTTCTTCATCTACGACGCTTCTACCTACAAGGAACACCCGGACCAGTTCGAGATCCACGTCTCGGAGCTCGCGCTGAACCCCAGACGCGGCGGGCCGAAGAACCTCCCTATTGCTGACGTACTTATCGACGACCTGGACACCGAGGGCATGAAGAGCACCAAGGACAAGCCGAAGCTGGTTATTCTGGGCGGCGGCTGGGGCGGCGTTGCCATGCTCAAAGAGCTGAACCCAGACGACTACCACGTAACTGTAATCTCACCGACGAACTACTTCCTGTTTACGCCTATGCTGCCGTCTGCTACTGTTGGAACCCTGGAACTGCGATCTCTGGTTGAACCTGTCCGCCGAATTCTCGCTCGCGTGAACGGCCACTTCATTCGTGCTTGCGCAGAGGACGTCGAGTTCTCGCACAAGCTGATTGAGTGTTCGGACACTGATGAAGCTGGCAACACGAGACGTTTCTATGTTCCCTACGATAAGCTGGTAATTGCTGTTGGATCTACAACGAACCCCCACGGTGTGAAGGGACTCGAGAATGCGCACTTCCTCAAGGATATCAGCGACGCCCGCAAGGTCCGGAACCAGGTTATGCTTAACCTCGAGAAGGCCTGCCTACCTACGACTTCCGATGACGAGCGCAAGCGTCTCCTTTCCTTCGTCGTCAGTGGAGGTGGCCCTACCGGCGTTGAATTCGCAGCCGAACTCTTCGACATGCTCAACGAGGACCTCACCCAGCACTTCCCGAAGCTTCTTCGTAACGAAATTTCCGTTCACTTGATCCAGAGCCGTAGCCACATTCTCAACACCTACGATGAAACGGTTTCGAAGTATGCCGAAGAGCACTTTGCCCGCGACCAGGTCGATGTGCTCACCAACTCGCGCGTCAAGGAGGTTCTCCCTGACAAGATCATTTTCACACAGAAGCAGCCCGACGGTTCGCTTGTCACCAAGGAACTCCCCATGGGCTTCTGCCTCTGGTCGACGGGTGTCGCCCAAACCGACCTCTGCAAGCGCCTGTCTGCAAAGCTCGGCCCGTCACAGACGAATCGTCACGCTCTGGAGACTGATACTCATCTCCGTCTCAATGGAACACCCCTGGGCGATGTCTACGCCATCGGCGACTGCTCAACTGTCCAGAACAACGTTGCCGATCATATCATGACCTTCCTTCGTGGCCTTGCCTTCAAGCGAGGCAAAGATCCCGAGACCCTCGAGCTCCACTTCACCGACTGGCGCGACGTTGCCAACGACGTTCGCAGACGCTTTCCCCAGGCCGTCGGCCATCTCAAGCGTCTTGACAAGCTCTTCGAACAGTTTGACAAGGATCAGTCCGGTACCCTCAACTTTGGCGAGCTTAGAGAGCTCCTGAAGCAGATCGACTCAAAACTCACCTCGCTTCCCGCAACGGCGCAGCGCGCGCACCAGCAGGGACAGTACCTTGCCCACAAGTTCAACAAGATGGCTCGCACCTCGGAAGGCCTGAGGGCGAACCAGGTTTTCGACGGTGATATCGACGCAGTGGTTTATAGAGCATTTGAGTACCGCCATTTGGGAAGTTTGGCGTACATTGGTAACTCGGCCGTCTTTGATTGGGGACAGGGCTGGAGCTTTGCCGGTGGACTGTGGGCGGTTTACATGTGGCGATCCGTCTACTTTGCTCAGAGCGTCAGCCTGAGGACGCGTATCTTGCTTGCCATGGACTGGGCCAAGCGTGGCCTCTTTGGAAGAGGTAAGCTCTCTTACGTTCCCCTTCTTAATTGGACCTTTACTAATACTCAACAGATTTAATGACCTACTAAAATCAAGATACGCGTGTTGTATGATTTTCTTTTCTGTTAGCATACCCTGGGGAGTACGAGGGCATAAGATGCATCCCCAAGTGATGCCGAATCATGGGGATAAAAGAGTTAGAAAGGGGCGTAGACGGTCTCTGAATTCCATTTTGTCGTTAAAGATTCAACTTCTGCTTGGCCAATTGAGTGAAAGTGAATACCCGACGCTTTTGTATTACCACTTTTATGATGCCTTCTATCGTATATACTCCCTTTAAATCTTGAAATCCTTGTATGACCACTTTTCTGTGACTTTCGACCTGGCCTGCTTCTTGAACGGAAGATGTCTCCGCACCTCAACCTTGCCGCGCAGCAACATGCTACGGTACCTATCCTTCAACAGATTTCCTTCGGGCTTCAGCAACCGCAGCGAATCCTGCAGCTCGTCCGGCAACACCAGCTCCAGGTCCTTCTCAGGCAGCTTGTACTTGCCGAGCTGCCGTCTCCTCAGCGGGGCGTCGTCGTCGATGTCCTCGTCGTCGTCGTCCGCGTCGCTGCCCTCGCCCACCTCGCGCGCGAGCTCCAGCGCGCTCTTGGCCGCGTCCCGCTCCGCGAGCTCCGTGGCGATCTGCTTGATGCGCTCCGCCTGCGCGGCCTTCTTCTTCATCGCCAGCTGGTGCTTCGCCTCGCGCTCGGCCTCCTTGCGGCGCTTGATGCGGTTGCGCTGCTGCGGCGTCTTGCGCTGCGGGCGCTTCTGCGACGGCTTGTCGTCGTCGTTCTCGACGCCCGACTCGAACCCCTCCCACGCCGAGTCCTCGTCCCACTCGGACAGCTGCGCGCGGCGGTCGGCGGCGTCGGCCTCGGCGGCGGAGCGCGCGATGGCCTCGCGCTTGAGGCGCTCGGCCTCCTCGGCGGCGAGGCGGGCTTCTTCGGCGGCGACGGCCTTGGCGGACTCGGCCTCGAGGCGGTCGGCGTAGTCGTCGAAGGTGGGGTTGTAGGAGTAGCCGCCCGAGGGCTTGACGACGGCGGGGAGCGGCTTGCCGGAGGCCGTGAGAGAGATGGGCTTGTGCTTGAGCGTCTTGGGGGGCTTGGCCTTGACGACGGGGGGCACGAAGTTGTCCTTGCCGGCGGTCGCGGGCTCGGCGGCGGGTGCGGGGGCGGCGCCCCAAAGGTCGTAGGTGGCGTCTTGGACGATGATGGAGGACTCGTGCTGGCCGTCGGCGACCTTGCGGAGGCGGGCGAGCTCCTTGTGGGAGACCCAGTCGGTGGTGCGTTGGCGCTTGACGGGGAGGAGGCCGTCGGAGGTTTTCGAGGGGGGGGAGGAACGCTTCTTGCGGCCGGAGACGGCGGGGACGGCGGAGCGGGCGGCGATGATTTCGTCGGACTTGAGCGTCTTTTTCGTCTTGGGCTTGGGGAGGGCCTTGCCGACCGTGTCGAGAGCGAAGAGGTCTGCCGAGTCCTTCTCTGCGACGACGCCACTGCGGCATGGATTAGCGACTGGTGCTGGGCTGTAGTTGTGAGGCAGTAATGGGTAAATAGCTCACCCGGTAATGATCTGCTTGTTCAACTCATCGAGACCGTCCTGGACATCGGTCACGTCGACGTTCTTCCTCCACGCCTTCTTTCCCTTCCTGGAGGGCTGCTTGCGTTGCTGCGGCGCCTCGCCGTCGCCCGAGAGGGGCTTGAGAACGGGCATCTTTGAGGGCTATTCAAATGGACTGGGTATGTTTGGCGTTTCGTTGGGTATCTCTCGTTGATTGAGGTGTTGTCGTGAAAAATCGTCGACCAGCGCACCCTGCAGCTTGATCAAACGTCCACTTCGCCTTCAATCTGGACCGCAGGGACTTTCTCTTCACCGGCGGGGCTTAGATCCCAGCATCCTAGCGACCAGAAATTTTTCGTTATCGATATGGAGGTTGCATTATCGGATTATCGGCACGTGATTGGACTAGTACGGCGGGGACCCGCTTCTTATCGGTCCCTCAATGGATGACGGGGACCCTGCTAAGCTGCAATACGCCGCCCAGAACGAGAAAGTTGACCTCCTTTTACCGTCGAGTTGCTCAATTTCCAGCTTTGCGACCAACTCTACGAGTTCCTCCCATCTCCGAAAGGCCTCCCTGGACTCCTTATTCCCCCAGTGTCCCTCCTTTTCCCCCTCTTCCTCTTTCTCTCCCTTGCATCCAAAACTCACCTCCTCCCCGGCGAACCTATCCGTTAGTGTCGACCGTGTTCCCTCCACCGATACTACGTCGAGCTTCCCTTTGATCATCGCGTATACTTGGCAACCATGGCGTCCGGCGCAGGCGGGTCTTACAACAACCCACTCAAGAAGTTCAAGTACGATGCGCCGAACATGATGGGTCAATTTGGGGATATCAATGCTGACGGCTAGGACAACAGGCTTGTCTTCTTGGGCGAGCAGAGTGGTACGTTTTGGTCCGGGAAGAGCTTACCCAGCTCTTTCTTTGATGCACGACAACCATCGCTAACAACGTCTTTGTTGCAGTCGGTAAAACCTCACTCATCACGCGGTTCATGTACGACTCCTTCGACAACATGTACCAAGCGACCATTGGCATCGACTTCCTTTCCAAGGCAAGATTCTCCACGACATCAGGGTGTGTGGAGGGGGCGTTATTGACTCGAACTGTAGACCATGTACCTTGAGGACCGGACGGTGAGGTTACAGCTCTGGGATACCGCCGGCCAAGAACGATTCCGCAGTTTGATTCCCTCGTACATTCGCGATTCCAGCGTGGCGGTTGTGGTCTACGACATTTCAAGTATGTGACGAATGAGCTCAGGGAGGGAGGCGAGGTGGGGAACCGACGGCTAACGACCAACGACTGCAGATGCGAAATCCTTCCAGAACACCAAGAAGTGGATCGACGATGTGCGCGCCGAGCGAGGAAACGACGTCATCATTGTGCTCGTGGGCAACAAGACGGATTTGAACGACAAGAGAGAGGTCACGACGCAGCAGGGAGAGGAGGAGGCCAAGAAGAACAACCTCATGTTCGTGGAGACTAGCGCGAAGCTGGGCCACAACGTCAAGACGCTGTTCAAGAGAATAGCGCAGGCGTTGCCCGGCATGGAGGGCACAGACGCTGCTCAGCAGGCCTCAAGCCAAAGTGAGCGTTTTCTTCCGATCTCTCCCTCACGAGCGGCTTACTAACACGAATTCCCAGTGATTGATGTGAAGACGACCCCTGCCGCATCCTCGCAAGAGGGATGCGCGTGCTAGATGATGTTCTTATTCGAAAAGAAAGCAAACGAGACTGGAGTAGCCCCCAAAAAGATGAAGAGATGAGCGACCCGTGGCGGACCGGACGACGCGGGGCTGAATTGCCGTTACATTACGACACGACTGGCGGGGCGGGACATCTTAAGCATAGCGTGCAATGAGGATTTTCAGCATCAGTTACAGTTTGTATAATAACGGGCTATAATCCACGGTCGTTAGTACATACCTACATTTAATGGCTCCTTTTATTCCTCTTCACCATTTGTTTGGGCCTTTGCGAATTGAGCAATACCTATGTGTATAGGTGGTGAAGGTAGCAGTGTAGGGAGCATGATATGCTAGACTAGCTCAGTGCATGACCTGCAAACACTCCTAAACGAAATAAGCTTGGAGATTGACTTGTGGTTCACCGCCCGAAATGACACGAGACCACCTAATCAGCCTAGGCTCTGGCGATACTCGGACTCCGTAGGACCGCTGTGGACTGTCACCGAGTGCCAGGGTCCGTCAAGGCCCAATCGACTGGTCGAGAGCGATCCGGTATCCATCACTGGTGGGGTCGTGGAAATCGATTTGCACTCGCCCGCTGCGCTGCGCGGCGGCCGGCGGGTTGCTGCTCAAATCCGCGTACAGAAAGCGAAGGGGCGCTCGGACACACGCCCCGGGGAGTGCCATCATGACGGAGCAGGTGGGGCCCCATCATGTCATCGAAGGGGGAACGCAGGTGCAGGGTCTTTCCACCCTTTTTTCTCGGAGCACCATGTCATCCGGCGCAGCCGCTTTGGTTAAATGTGACGAGCCTTTTGCAACGCTTTTCGCAAAGCTTCCCAAACATTACCAGAGCTCCTGGACCCCTTCTTCTGACGCAACCCTTCTTTTCCCCTTCCGCCTCCGGATCTCCCCTCCTTCAACAATCCATCTTACCTACCTACGCGATTATTGATTTCACGAGGGAAAGAAAAAATCAAAACGAAATGGCGCTTTCAAGATTCAGGTTGCGGGTTCCGCGCCCAAAGGTTCGTCACATCATCGCTAAGCGCCGGCGTGCATCTTCCATCGCGGCCCACGATTACTGACGCAAAAGTCACACGACACAGACGTTCCTGGGCTGCATCAGCCTGCAAACCGGCACCGAAATCATCTCACTGATCCTGCTCTTCAACCGCCTCACCGGCCTGTACGGCCTCCTCGCGATCCTGACCGGCTACGAGATCTCCGCAACGCAGCTGTCCATGTACCTGTACTCGCTCGGCGTCGTCGTCTGCCTAGCCATGTTCCTGCCTCACATCCGCAAGAACAGCCCCTTTGAGGCGCTCGGGCTCGCGTGGCTGTACATCATCGACACGATCCTCAACATCGTGTACACGACCTTCTTCGCCGTCGGCTGGTACCTCCACAGCACCGCACTCGACAAGCACCCGGGCAGCGCGGGCGTGCCGGCCGCCGCGGAGATTGCGGAGGAGGCGCTGGCGAACGGCGCGCCTGTCGTGCCGGACGTGCCCAAGACGACCAAGCACATTGGCCCGCAGGAGTCGTGGATGAGCCTGGGGCTGATTATCACCGTGACGCTACTGAGGGTCTACTTTGCTGTCGTCGTCATGTCGTTTGCACAGAGCGTGTTGCAGCGCTTCACCGAGATGGGCTGGGAAGAGGAGGGACGCAAGAAGGGCCCCGACGGACCGTTCAGCCCCGGCGAGCCCGATGGTGAGGGCTACCGTGGTCGCATCGGCAGAGTGATGCTTGCCCTGGGACGCAGCTACTGGCTCGAC